TAGCTGGCCGTATATGACATATGAAGAGAGAGAACCTAGCAGCACTAGAGCATTGTGCCCGGTTAGCCATCGATTAGTACAGAAAGTTTGGAGCTGGGAGGCCCATTTGCACCATATCCAGTACGTTTAGGCACGATTTGTGGCCAGGAACGCACTGGATTGCAGAAATCAAGCATTCTGGGGCGTGAAGGGGCGTGGCGGTGCCATTCATGTCAATGGTCAGTGCGATCGCCAGCACCGGAACGCGAGGTACAGGAGTGCTGCGTGTACTATTTTTTCAGTTTGCACTGTACCGGAACGGAAGGCATTCCTGTACCTCGCATTCCGGTGCGATAAATAACACCACCACCCCCTCTCCCACCCCAGAACACGGCGCGGTTTGATTTCTGCGATCCATTGCATTCCAGCCATGAATCGTGCCAAAATGCACTGCATATGGTGTGACTGGGCCCGGAGGCTATGTTCACACCATGTCTGGAACTGATCTGTAATTGCAATGCAGTGCATTTTTGCCGTGTTCCGTGGAATTTTTTTCTTTTAGCTTAAAATGGGCTTTCAGATGTAGTCCAGTGCGTTTGCATGCATTTTCATGCAGTCCAGTGCATAGAGAAAATCAGTATTTTTTTGTCTGGTCCGGAACGGACTGCGCTGGTGTGAAAAGACCCCAGAAATACCACAGGGATACATTGGGATTGCTTACTTGCTTCGAGAACCAACTGTTCTGGTCTAGACATGGTGTGAATGGGCCCTGAGGGCTTGTTCACACCATTTCCTGATCATGTCCAGAACGTTCCAGTCCAGGCACAAAAAATACTGCTTGTCTCATTTTCTCTGGTCTGGTATGCATGGAAATGCATCAAAACGCATGCAAATGCACTGGGCTGCCCCTGAAAGCCCATTTTAAGCTAAAAAAAAAAGTGGCATAATCATGGTAAAAACACAGCAAAAATGCTCCAGATATGGTCTGGACATGGTGTGAACTTGCCTTAAACTTGCAAGCTTTCTCGATTCCTTAGATCCCTTCGCCAGGCTTTATACATTACAGAGAGATTGCCTGTAATCATTTTGATGCACCAATTCAGCGATATGACTGCATCTTTACGCATGATAAGATTTTGATGAGTCCTTACTATCTCTTTGATCCTTTTGGATACTCCTTCCCCAGGACACCCCAGGATACTCTCTTGGATACTCCTTCCCCAGGACACCGTTCTCCCTTTCTCTCTCTCATTCACTCTTTCTCCCTCTTCTCCCCC